TGCTTTTTCATGGGGAACTGGCTATTTCACGGGAGACTGACAATTACACGATTTCCATGAAATCATGTATTTAGTATGTCCCTGTTTATGTGTAATAACTATACCTGGCCATAGACTCATCTATGAGTGCCCCCAGCTGCCTTCTGCCTGTTATAGGGGATGGGGGGAATTATTTCTTCCCTCCTGAGCTAGGAATAGATGTGCGAAAACAGATGTCCTTCAAAGATTACACAGTTTTTAGATAGGCCAGTAGCTTCCAGCATTAGCAATACCAAGCACATATCAGGGATGCTGTTACGTTATCCTTCTCTGGTCTTGATTGGCCCCAGGATCTCCTTTACTCAATAAATCTCATCTTGCCTTTCAGAACTAAGCAGTTATAGTGTGTCTGTTTTGGATAACCATTGCCCTAATACTGCAGTACTTGATTCCTACAAGACTAGGGCTAGGGACAGAAGTTACACATAAACCAGTTTAAGTGATCAGAAGCTGGTTTAAATCTATAACAGAACAGAAGCTCAGTGCACATAAACCAGTTTCAAAACAACAGGAACTGGCTTAAGATAAACCTGGTTGAATGTAGTATCAGACTTAACTGATTTAGGTCAAACTGGTTTATGAAACTACTGATCCAGACCACTTCCTAGTTCAAGTTAAATCAGCCCTGGGCTGGACTGTGCTGTCTGCTCCAGAGAGCAGGGTTGGCCCTGCCCCTCTGCTCTCTAGCCAGAGCAGTGAGGGCTGCCTGACAAGGGGGGTAGGGGTGGGAAACCTGGCTGGGGACTGCAGCTGGGTCTGCCTGGGGTGTGGGGAGGGGTAGCTCCCTGCCAGACTATTCCCCTTGAAGCTGGAGCAGGGAGAGGGGAGCAGCCTGAGAGGGACTACCGGCAGATAGGGGGCTGGCAGGAGACCAACAGACTCCATCCCCTTCCACCTCTGGCAGAGACTGAGGCAGGCAAGCAGTTGATCAAGGGAGAGGGTTTACTTCCCCTCAGCTCCCCCAGGTTATGGGGGAGGGGGAAGAAGTTGGGGAACCAGGGCTGAGGAGACTCGTCTCCTGCCACCTGTGAGCACAGGGCCCAGCCCTGCAGGACCAGACTGAGGGGGAGGTGTTGGCAAAGACCTGGCACAATCATCATATGTATGTGCTGGAAGCAGAGCTAAGGGAACAGGAGAGGGTCCCAGACTGCTGAGGCTGGTGTGACCAAAGAAAGCAGAGCTACATTTACATTATAAAGCAGAACCTGTAGAAGGTACGAGACCGGAGTACCTAAGAAGAGATACAAGACACTGAATGCATGAGAAACCTGCCAAAGGTGATATAGGTGACAAACATACTAATGTCCAGGCACCCAAGAGGGAGAAGGAGGTGCAAATGTACTTGTAAAAACCCAAGTAGAAATGGGACCTATGGGGTCTCCAGTAAAACACCTAAGACCACCTGCTGATTCCCCAAGAAAGACTTCCTGAATACCTGGCTGTAAGGAGACACTCTGCCGTCAGGATTACATAAGACATAGGCAAGGTTTTCTCTTGTCTTTTTGGTTTATTACATTCCTTTTTAAGTTAGACTAAGTTGTGTGTGCTCTCACTGTGTTTTACTGGGCTGTATTTTAACAAGTGAAGATTTTTGGTTCTTTGTTATGTGCTTGAGGTTGCAAATTGCTTTGTTCAATACATGCTGACTTCAGAGGAAGGACTATTCTTGTTCAAGCTTTAATAAATTCAGTCCCACTGTCTTTTTCCCTGTCCTCCTCAGTTTGGCAGGATCTACCCTCCCACAAACAGAGGGTGGGGGGGCAGAAGCCTGGCAGGCACTGTGCCCTGCCCCTAGGCAGACCCAGCCAGGGAGGGGATTTAAACCCCTACCCTCCAGGTGCTAGCCCAGGGCTGGGGCCTGGCCATGCCCCCTCTGCTTGAGCAGGGAGTAGGGAAAAGTCTTGGAGCTTCAGTCCCTTTCCTTTGACAGTGGCTGACAGGCTGAGGGGCATGCTCTGGCACCCCTCACTGGCTTTTGGCCTGTAGGCTGCATTTCCTGAATCATCAATGAATGTCTGTTCACTTGTTTCTCAGTTTAATTTCTGCAGTTTAGACTAACCTGCAAAGACTGAATTGATTCAGGCTCAGACTCTTTGACTGTCTGTACTTAGCCTAGAAGGGACCTTAGAAAACGGTGAAACAGAAATAGAAGTTAAGCAACAGGGGAAAAAACTAATATATATATATTTATATATATATATTTGTATCAGAATTATAGTACATACAGCATAATGAGTTTTGTGAATTACAAAAACCTGTTTTACTGTATATATCTGGCATAGCACTAAACAGTGTTGCAGAACTTCATCTCCTTGTTGCCATTGATGTCATCCATAGGATTTGACCAGGGCAGCACTGATTTTTGACTTCAACAATTGGATATGCTGAAGCAACAATTTTTCAGGTGCTGACAGACCACATCACAAACAAAAAGCTGTGCTGCAAGGGGCTGCAGGCCACATGCCAAATATTTAGAATGATTTAAAATATTCTAAACAACTTTAAGGACCATGGGAAATTTAAATAGGTTTAAAGCTTTGAATAGCTTTAGGCTAACTGTGTTGCTTCAAGCTTTCCAAACCAGTTTTAGGCTTAATCTACTCTGAGGACTTGAATGTTACCCTCTGGTTCCTTGCCAGTGTGGAAAATATACCTGCTCCTACTGCTGATGCTTCCCTGTTAGCAAAGGAATAAAGAGACTCTAGTTCCAATAAAATTGTCTACTTAGGTGACTTAAGAAATAAAATCACATTTTCACTCTACTTTCTTGTACTTGTGGGAGTTATTATAGGCCTAATTGAATTTTTCAGCATCTATCCATAGTTCTTAATACTCTGTCTACTTTAAAATAATGTTATAACAAAATCTACAGTATTAACTGGCCCCCTTTATACAGCGATACCCATTTCATTAAGGACATGGCTGCTGACAGATGTGGGGGGAAAAAACAAAACAGCGCTTTACCGGAAGAGGAAGGGCATTAGTTCAACCCAGCTTCCCAGTGTCTGTATAGAACATGTGCTTCAGCTAGGCTTTTTGGCGCTTTTATCTAAAAGCTAATTCAGTCTGGCTGGGTAGACTAAAAGGCTAGTTAAATAAAGAGAAGAGTTAAAAGATGTGCGTGTGGGCTGTTTACAGACGTGAAAAAAAACAAACAGTGCTTTTTAAACTTTAAGTTTGGTGTGCCCCTGTGTGAGCGCAGTGTCTGCCAGGAAGAGGCATTGCATTAGTGTGACCCAGCTCTTCCAACATCTGTGTAGATAGTGCGCTTCAGTGGAGCTTTTTGGCACTTTTATCTGATAGCTGATTCAATCAGCTGTTAGATACAGCTATTATATAATAGCTGATTGAATCAGCTATTAAGAAAAAAACACCAAAAAGCCAAAATGAAGTGCGTGAGTTGTACAGACCTTGGGCAAGCCGGGTCAAACTTAATGCACTGCCTCTTCTAGGCATGAGCTGCACTCACACGGCTGTACCAAGCTTAAAGTAAACTCTCCTCTTTATTTCACTAGCCCTTTAGCTAGTTAAATAGGAGTAAAATGACTGACTGTTGCTGAATTAAATGAACTGCTCAAAGAAATTGAGACTGCCATTATGGATTATTCTGAGGAGCTCGTACAGCAGTTGGCTCTACGAGATGAGCTGGAGTTTGAGAAAGAAGTGAAAATAGTTTTATTTCTGTTCTCATTGAACTAGCCCCCAGCCCCCAAATGCCAGTTAAAAAGATGGGCTTTGTGGTGGTGGTGGCTAAGAAAGCCCAATTCTATGAAGATGTGGGATCTTAAATAGGGTAAGTAAATTCAGGGGCTGAAAGCAGCCCATCAAAACATCCTTTCATCGCCATCCTTGCTTATAAAGTGCACAAGCTCTAGCTTGAACACCTCTGCTAATTCTTTTTTGCCATACTTACAATCTAGGCCACTCAATCTAATATACTTCTTGGATAAAAGCTGCTATGTTGTGAATAACTTTCTCATGTATGCTTTCTCTGGCTTCTTTTTTTTTGTCTAGGTTGAATGTGTCAGCTAGCTAGTCTTTATTCAGTCCCTCATTTAAAAAATACATGGTCATATATTCTGCCACAATAGCCCAAATAGAAAAGCCAAATGTTGGTGTGTGTAGTAGTCTTATTTAATATACCATATCCTGTTTTTTAACTAAGTACTAAATGACCAGGGATTCACACTGGAGGGAATTGTAAAGAAAATTTGTTACTCCCCTTTAGAGAAAGTCCTTCAAAGTAGATGGGTAATTTTCCAAAACTACTTTCTAGAAGCTCCCTTCAGGAAGAAAACAGTTAAATGACACCATCTACTTTTGACATCTGCAAGCCTAGCAAAACCTTGTTCACTGGTAACAAACACTTTTCCCAGTCTTAAAATAATCTGCACAGACATGTTCTCAATACCAATAATTAGGGAGAATTTTATCAACCAGTAGAAGTTGTATGGTTTCTTCATCATAACAGGCCTGCAATCCAAGGACTCCAGAAATGACTAGGGTTGTTCTACCATAATCTTTTTAATGATTTTCCCCTTCTCCCCTTGAAAATCTTAGGAACAAGCTCATAGTTAACACAATTGTCAGTATCAAGAGAGAGATTCTTGGGCAGAGGCCTTGCCATGCTTTCCTTAGGGACAGCTGTCTCCCTAGAATTTGCAGATTATTTTTTACTCTTTATAAACGTTGTGGGTATCAAAAGTTGTGGCTATTTCTTCAGTTCTGTATTCCAAGAACCTAAAAAAAATCATGGTGTACTTTGATATTCCCAATAGCACAACCTATTTTCTTTTCTGTAGTTTAAAAATGAAGGGTTTTTTGGTTTTGAAAGTGTAACTACCTACAATGACTTACCAATCCTTTTATTAGTTATTTTCATATGCCTAAAGTTTGACAGATGACTTTTAGGTATTATGCAAGACTATTTTTCATTTCTTATTTTAATTATTTTTCAATAGGAGTAAAACGACTGTCTGTTGCTGAATTAAATGAACTGCTCGAAGAAATTGAAACTGCCATTAAGGATTATTCTGAGGAGCTTGTACAGCAGTTGGCTCTACGAGATGAGCTGGAGTTTGAGAAAGAAGTGAAAAATAGTTTCATTTCTGTTCTCATTGAAGTACAAAACAAACAGAGAGAGCACAAGGAATCAGTGAAGAAGAAAAAGAAGCTGAAAAATGGTAGCCCTCAAAATGGCAAACAAGAAAAAGGTCATATGCCTGGAACAGTAAGAATATATTTGTATCTACTTGCAAAGTGATGCATGCAAAACTGCACTTCTTTATGTGCTTAATGTCATACATTCATCCAGTGAGGAAGTAATAGCTCTACCACAAGTGCATGGTGCATATTTTCCCCATATTTCAAACAGGGAAGGCCAGGGTCGTCTTGTCATGACACATTTCCTTTTGTAATTCCTACCTGCCAAATTGTAACTTTTCCTAGCCTCTGAACAGAAACTTTTGTTTTTCACACTCAGAGTTGGAATCAAGTATGCACTTCTCAGAAGTGGTCATTGCTCATACCTCTTTTCCTGCTTCATTTTACTAAAGCCAAGGGTCTGTAAATTTTGATTGTACATACTGCATCATGTATATCAGTGTTAACCATGCAGGAAAGGAAGTACAATATTCCTGTTCAGATTATGGTTAATTGATGAACGGAGTTCGTGTCCAGAGACTGAAAGAAAGCAAGAAATATAGACTCTGTGCTTATCCCAGTAAAATTCCTAGGATCTTGAATGGAAGTAAAATCAGGCTGGAAGTAAATAGTACAAATTTACAAAGACAAATTTGGCCCTACAATAATATCCACTTAGGTCTTTTAAAGTTAGATCAGGTAGAGTATTAGAAAATAAAGGGGAAAAAACATATTGGGAGGAAATTAGGGTTATCTAATAGCCGTTTTCTTTCTGTAATTCTTATTAGCTTAACTCTGCAAGTTTTCTTCCTTTGGTTGTTTGTTGATGAACAGCAAGCCAATCAGACACGGTCCAAGCAAAAGAATTTCATTTGTGCATCATTTACATTTTTTGGGTGGTAATATGTAGACAATACTTATATTTTGTAGTCTTGAGATTTTAGATGAAAATATAGCATAAAGGTAGATTTGTGCAAACTTTCAGTAAATGGTGCAGTTCATCTGGTGATTAATTGCAGTAGTGTGTCATGTATGTGTCATACTTAAATAATTATCTAAATTTTTATAACTCCTTGCACTGGGGAAGAAAAGGTGAATACAGATTTCACAGTATGATATTACCAAACTCTTTGATCTGATAATAACAGAAGTATGTGTTTCACTATACTTGTCAGTTATATACTATAATGGTTGTTAATGACCAAGCAGAAGAGGGGGTATGTAGAATACTTCGCAGTAGTTTAGTCAGTACAAAGCAACAACAATTGAATTTAAAAAGAAATTTTAATTTTGAAGTAAAAAGGATTTCTACAACTAAAAGTTGATAAGCAAAGCTGACACAAAGATGTGCTTAGATAGTTTACATGATTGTCTAAAGATCATATTTATAGTTTGACTCAAAACAAGTAGAATCATGTTATGCTGGGGAAATGGTTGGTTGATACATTTTCTTAGCGTATCCCTTTTGATATTTCCTTTACTTTTTGATAATCCTAACTAGCAGTATTTCTTTATTTTTGCCAATCTCACTGTCTGCATAACAGATCTGAGCATACCAGATAAGAGAAAATACAGTGAACAGTGGGTATTTAATTGATGATTAAGAGATGTATAAATTTAATACATTGATAATTGCCTGTGAAGGGCAGCTGTTCAGTCCACATTAAAAATAAAATAAAGCACGAACCTGCCTCTGTAAAAACTTTGATTAATATTTCAAAACTGTATATAATTTATATATTTAAAAATCAAAGTTTCCTCAGGCATCTTTTACCTTAGATGAAAAGAAACCATTCTCTGTGAATACTATAAAAGCCATTAAAAAGTCAATACTAAATGGTTACCACAATTAGCATCACATTGAGGCAGCTTTCCTTAGCATTTTCAACCTGATGCTGCTGTGTAGTGGTGGTTGCCAAATACTGATTTTATATAGCAGTCAGAATAGGAACAAAAAAGAAGGTGATGATTAAAAAAGGAAAAAAAAGAGGGAAGTACAGGAAGTAAGATATAAACATAATAAATGAAATTTATATCAAGCCCTCAACTGCCTTTATTTTTTGTTTGCTGTCTAACTATATTTTGTAAAGATAGATAGCAAACTCCTTTAACTGCTGGGGTGATACATAATTTCAAAACAGCTCATTTTTCATCTACTATTCATTAAAACTGTAAAGAGCAGGGCAACTTACACTCGAGGCCATCCCTAGGTGGGGCAAATTGGGGTGACTTCTCTGGGCCCCATACTTTGGGGGGCCCCATGGTGCCGGGCCAGCTTTAGGTCCGACTGCTCACCCCCCCGCCACCGCATCCAGGTCCAGCACAGGCTGATTTGCCCCAGGCCCTGCACCCTGCTACAGTCATCTCTGCTTACACTGGTGCACTAACAAGGGTGGCCAACCAGCAGCATGGGTATCACAAGTGGTATCGGCAGCCCTTGTGTGGCACACAGCAGATTGGGGAGGTGACAGGCAGCATACAGTGGCAGATTGGACAGGGAGCAGAAGCCAGAGAAACAGATCAATAAAAGGGTCAGAGTGGCACACAGGGAGGGTGAGGCTAATATGTAGCACCTGCCAAAAATGTTGGCTCATACTGACCTAACACAAAGCTATGCACTTGTGAGTTCTGTTACTGTTGGGTAAATGAGTCCTTTTCCATCAAGGGATCTGTTAATCTTTCAGTGATCAGAAAATGCTCAAGTGTAGTTAACAGGCATGTCTCCAGAATGTAAATGGTGTTCCCTAAGCACAAATTAAATATATAAATCCAATCTTGTGGGCTTCATCTTTGGGATTGAGATACAACAACTGAGCAGTAAGCTAAATAATTTGAAAGTCTCTAGAGAGTTAATGCAAGTGACTTGAGTGTATTCTAGATTAATATGGCCTCTCATTCTCAGATGATTATCTTCATGGATATGCCTGGATATGCAGTTGCAGAGCACATTTTACTCTGTGATAATCTGTAATATTAGTATAATAAAAGCTCTGTTATCCGGCATCCCCCAAGAATGGGGGATGCCAGATAACAAAATATGCTGGTTAATTGAGTGGCCTTAACAGGTGTCCTTGCCTGTTCGGGCCGCTGCTTCTCTCACCGCATCCGGGGCATCGCTGCCCCTCCCGCGGGCCCTGCGGGACAGGGAGGCAGGCCCTGTGCAGCCTACTGTGCCCCGGGCCATGAGGACCGAGCAGCACAGGCTGCTTTCCCCTGGGCTGTGGGGGCTCAGAGAAACCAGAAGTGCCACGGTGGGCACTTCCAGTTTCACTTTACCTTACAAGCTGGCATGCCGGTTAGTAGAACATGCCAGCTTGTAAGGTGCTGGATAACAGAGCTTTTACTGTATGAGGTTTTTCTTTGTTCTAATACATTTTTGTTTGACTAGAGAAGATATACTTTGTCTCTTAAGCACATGATTACCTGCCACTTTTCAGTATTTTTTAGTTGTTATTTTAAGAATAAGAAGACCTTTCTAATTTGAATTTCCAGTCAGTTAGTACCTCGGTGCTTTAAAATGGCTGATTCTTGCCTCTGCTATACCAGCAGCCGTTTGTTGCACTCCCTCTGACACAGCTATCCATTAGTTTCAAAAAGGTTATCTCTCATTGATGCTTTGCCTCTGAATTTTTACTTCTGAATTCTCTGCTGTTGTAGAAAAGTTGAGGCATTGGATGTTCAGTCACATTGCTTCAAAAATGTGTATTGCATTTTGAAGAAACTCTTATTCTCTGCGTTTTAGAATGTTCTTGTGATGTTATCTGTAAGTCATCTTGCCCTCTACCCACCATTTGCTATCTCCCAAATGACCTTCCATGTAGGGGGTATCCATAACATGTCACTCAGGCAATATTTGCTTGCCTCCTGCAAGAGGAAGGAGGATGCTATCTTTGAAAGAATGAAGCAAGATTTGTTTTAGCACTGCACTTGATTTTTCAGAGCTGCTAACATTCGCTAGGCTGTATCAGAAGGCAGGGTAGATTTGCACCTTATAGATGAACCGAATCAGTGATATTTTGTAAGCTTGCTTCACAAAAACTTATGCATCTCTGATTTAATTAGTCTATAAGATGCAAATCTACCCTGGCTTCTGCCTGACTTTAATCTAACGTGGCTAACTACCTCTCTCTCTAATGAAACATGCATAAAAGGTGGGATTAAACATGAACTGCATTATCTAAGATCAGGGCTGTCCCAACTTCTAAGTGTCCAGGGGCCCCATGGCTTGGGCTGTCAGCAGGGGCCATGGACCTTGGAGACAGTTCCTGGATTTGCCTTTATCTCTCCAACCATAAGCTTCCCTGCTACACATTGCACTTGTGTTGTGTAGGAAAGGGAAGACAGAGGGAGGGGGAGCATGGAGCCCCCCAGTTGCTGCTTTGGTGCTGCAGGCAGCCTGAGCAATGGTGGGAGCAACAGCTAGGGCTGCAATTTAACTCCTCACAATTCACATGCAGCTTCCAGGCCACCTTTTGGACGGCCCTGATCTGAGATCTTCAAAGATTTGGTAGTGTTTTGATGAAAGTAGTTGCAGTTCATACATTCTAACAAGGCATATTGAAACCTGATTAACTCTTAACTGCCCCTGCTCTAAAATTATTCCAAGTTAGGTGATATTCCAGTGGGAGAAGGTAGTTGCTTGCAGAGGATTTAAGTCAGTCCTTGCTCAGTTCTTTGAAGAGTCTTTGAATATGCAAAAGTTTGGATATCTCTCATTTTGGCAAGCTATTTGAATTTCATTAAAATCCAGTAGTTTATTAAAGTAGCTTTCTCTCCATCACCTCCAAAATCTTTTGTGTATACACTTGCAGTACTTGTGGTATTGAGACTAAGCATACAGTTGTCTGGGCATAATGCATACTAATAGGTTGGCCTATGTTTTTAGGAAGTCTTAACTTTAAGTGTCTTGATTAGAATTCAGTAAAGATTCTGTAGAAATGAATAGAGCATTAAAACCTTTCTGGGAGTTCTTGTTTCAGTCATAGAAAAAGCAATTTATGTTTAAATTGAGATTATCTTCCAAATGTAAAGAATTGGGGGAGTTCATGAAACCTTGTATTCTCCATAATCTGAATGTGTAAATTTACTTTAAGTTAAAATTTTCGTGATACAGTTCTATGACCCTGGTTCCAGGGTGACTTTGGGCAAGTTGCTTTTTCTCTCTGGGTCTGCTTCTCTATGATTATAATGAAGAGACTGATACTGACCTTTCAGATAGTACTTTAAAATCATTGCTGAAAATCTCTTTCTAAGAGCTAGGCGGCGTTCATTATAGTAATAACTTGCTATAAATGGATCCACAGTGGCTATTGTACTGAGTTTAGCCATGGTGGTTGTCTAAATCACTATCATTTAATCAATAAAAAAAGTAAATTGGTGACAAGGTAAAGATTGGAAACACTGTACTAAATACAATTCAATTTCACTCTTGTTTTCTACCAGTATGTTTAGCAGAAATCTAATTTAAAAAAAGACTAATGTTGCAGGGAAATAAATTCCTTGGAAAAAGAGAATTAGTATAGCTTGCTTTTAACAAATGGGAGATTAGCTGATTTTAAACCTTTATAAAATTCACTCTATTAGTGCTCAAACATAGGATATCATAAAGTGGTAGGTTGTGGGTTTTTTTTTTTTTAAAGGTTCCCTTGTGCTTTTTGCATTTTAAATTTACATCAACACTGCTTTAGTTGATACAAAATTTGAAAATATAATGTACTTTTTACTGGAGCAAGTGTAAATAACAGATAAATATATTTTAAACCAAATATTTTTTAAAAATAAGTAATTATCAAGTATTGTAATTGCTGCTCTACCCATAACTTTCTGATCAGCTTTACATAAATTACTTTCCTCTTTCTTGGGTTTTTGTTCCATCTGTAAAATGAGGAAGTTCTTTTTTTTTTTTTTCTTACTTATTTCACAAAGATACTTAGGAGGATTAGTTGAGGTTTTTTAAGACTTACTATTTAAAGCACTTAACATCTGCATATATTCTAGGAAGGTGAGTTAAGATGGTTTCAGACCTTATATATTTCCTCTATGTTTCATTGTGTTTAAAATTACACTGAATATTACATTAACATAGCATTTTATTTTCCGTTGAAAAATAAATGCAGGTGTGTGTGGATGTGTGATCACAGGTCTCTGTGGATAGCCTGAGGTTTTTAATTTTTTTAGTTCGTTAGCTTCTGAATCTCACATCTCAGGGTGAATGTCAGAAGTGTGGATCTATTATTCTTTCCTTCACTCAATAAGAATGGAATGCAAATACTGCAAAAGCTTCTTCCTGCCTAGCTGACTTCCTGCCCTTTGGGCAGGGGGCTGGACTCGATGATCTTCCGAGGTCCCTTCCAGCCCTAATGTCTATGAAATCTATGAAAAGACAAATTTGGTAGAGTAAACTTGATTTTTTTTTGTGCTTGGTCTCCACATACTTCTGATGGAGCTTGAAATTAATATGTATATTTTGTTAACTAATTGTGTGCACTTTACAATATCAGCATCATTCCAGGGATACAGTTTGTTGCTGTTACTGTGGCAGAGGAAGCACAAACACATAACATGCTTCATGTAGAATGAATGTCAATTGATGTGTGTTAATTCAAAAAATAAATTTATAATATATCATTAGGCTTTAAGAAAATTAAATGTTAGAAGGATCCTTCTAAATACAATAGGGTTCAATAATAATTTCATAAAAATAGGTATACTCTGAAATTGAACTCTGGAGAATTTTATTCAATGTATTTACGTTATTTAAGTTATTCTTAAAAAGGTCTGAAAATTTGGTTCTTATTTAAAAACAACGTTTGTATAGACTGAATAGTAAAATGCATTTATGTGTCAACATTGAGTCTGTCATGAAAATTTTGCTTCTGATTCAATATATGATGAAAATATGCAATCAGGTCTTATAATACTTAGAATCACAATGTTAATTAATATTAAACTTTTCTTAAAATTTTCTTCTGCATATGAACAGCATACAACGGTGCTTAATATATTCTAACAGCTTGTCTCTGTCTGATCTTTCTTGTGTTGACTTGGTAAACGCTCACTAATAGTCTTTGAACTTTCTCTGTCTCCTTTTTTTCTGCCATATTTTTTTGCTACTTTTTAGCGCTTCAGCATGGAAGGGATATCAAATGTCATTCAGAATGGCTTCCGCCACACGTTTGGAAACTCAGGTGGAGAGAAACAGGTGCTGGGTTATGCCTCTTTCCTCTTTCTTTGTCTGCTGGTTTCTATAAAAATTAAAATGAAGAAAGATGGTAATACTAGCATGTTTGGACCTATAATCAGTGCTTTGAAAAATAAGTGCTGGTATGCCTGCCCCAATTCTCCTTGTCTTCAGGGCTGTGATCAGCCTATTATGTCTCTCTCTCCTCAGTAGGCAAAGACCAATCAAAATTTCAAAGGGCACTGAAATATGATGCCTTGGAGACCTGTATTTTCGCATCCTCAATTTAAAAAAAAAAAGTAATGCATGCTTGAAATGAACTGCATGTGTATGGAAAAGTAATTCAGATAGTTAACACACTTCAGTTTTAAGCTTTAAGAAGGCAAGATGACATCTAAAATACTATGAGAATGGGGTTTCCTTCCTCCTTAGTGGCCAGAATCCATTCTTCTGAAGAGAAAAATTGTACCTGTGAAAATTCATGTGTAATTCCTCCTTGATGATGTTAGAAGTGTTATGTTAGAAGTAGCCAGTTATATGGAATATAAATATATTGGATAAAATACTTTATTCAAAGGTAAGTTTGTATGCTAATTAATTATTTATGAGAATATATCTCAAAGGAGACTATGCCTGTTACAGTAAGTAGCTGTCAATTTTTAAATGTACTTCACCAGGGAGGTTTCTATCTTATCTCTCACTGTAATATTTCATTACCTTATTTTTAATGTAGGCCATAAATGCTTACATTATGAACGTTAAGACTGTAATATGTATTTTAGTTATTTGTGCCAGGGCTGTTCAATTGGCAGGCTGCATGTGGCTTGCAAGGGGTTAAATTGTAACCCCCTGGGCTCCCACCCAACCACCATTCCCTCCCCATTGCTTTAGCTGCTTCTACAGCCACATGTGTCTCCCTCTGGCTTCCTTTTCCCCAACCCAGGAGTTGAGGTAATGCAGTATAGTGCAGCCTGCAATGCTGGGGAAGCCCATGGCCTGGGGCTCTTGAGAGGTTCAGTGCAGCAGCGGTGCCCATTAGGGCTGCGTGAAGCTTCAGTTGCTGATTCGATTTGGCCTGATTCAGCAGCCGAATCTCTGAATCCGAATTGAATCAGGAGACCCTTTAATCTCTCTGAATTGAATCAGAACTCTCCAAATCATTTTGGAGAGATTCAGAGAGATTCAATTATTTGGACACAGACACAGCTTTAAATGTTTTTTCTGTGCATCTCAGGGTACCAGGCAGCTCATGAATGCCAAGATGCTGGGGGTCCCCAGCGGGCTTAGCAGTGGACCCAGAAGTAGACCAGAAGCACTTCCAGCCCACTTCCAGATCTACTGGGGAGTGCGCGGGGGACCCACCCCCCAGCTCAGTGACTGGTGTCTCCTGGGTCTAGGGGGAAGCGGTGGGGGATTCACCGCCGAGCACGTGGGGGGCCACCCCATGCTCCTCTGGGATGCTCCATCTGCCCCACCATCTCAGCATTTATGAGCCATTCCTGGTACTTCGAGGTATGTAGAAAACACATTTAAAGCTGTGTAATTTCTGATTCTCCAAATCAGCATCGAATCTTCAGATTTGGTTCGGCTGAATCAAATCAGGACACTGATCTGAATCAACAAATCAAATCACTGTCCCCAATTCAGGCCAAATCCAAATCGGATACGGCCCGTTTCGCACACCCCTAGTGCGCATAGCTGGGAAGCTGAGGATGAGGTGGACTGCCCTGGCACATAGTGCAGCAGGGATGAGAAAATGGTGTGTTGGCAGGGTGCAGAGGCACCCAGTGCAGCAAGGGGGCATGGCCCCACTAGTGCAGCATCCAGCTTTTTAGAAGTTGGACAGCCCTGATTTATGGTGTTGATAAACAGCAAGATTTTTTAAATGTAGCAAAACTAAGGGTTGATCTAATTCTAGCTGTTCTCTCAAGAACAAGCAATTTACTGTTTATTCCATAAGGACTGCCGGAAGTGTCAAGGGTTGATTGATGGAGCTCTCTTTCTTTTTTTTTATTCTAACCTCAGAGAGAAAGGGACACCTAAGCTCAAGTTGGAAATAGCATGATGTGGAAATCCTAGGGAGTCCTAGACTCTGGAGAAGGCAAGTTTTGGTACAGTAGAATGAAGGGTGTAGACAGCAGTTAGTTTCCATGTGCTACCTCAACTTATAGTTGCAAAAGTTAAAAATGTGTTTATAGAAAAGGAGGTCTGGGTTGAAAGCAGACCTGGTTTACCTGAGACCTTGCAAGTAATTTAGTGAAAAGAAAATGTTGATAATTCTGCCTTTTCTAAAGGAAAGCTATCCATATTGGTCTTGCTATTAGTTAGCAATGTTAGTCTGAAGTTAGGCAGAAGGCAGGATAGGGTGACACCTTATATACTGACTTATTTAGAGTCATGAGCTTTTGTTAGCTACAGGTTATTTTATCAATACATGAATTCCTTCTCCTTTGAGAAGGAACTAGCATGTTCTTTTTCTTCCATTTAATGTACCAGTGGTACTGTGCACGTGCTTGGAAGACAAAAGATATTTTTCATAACTTTTTTGCTAGCTTAGTGAAAACTGGTTTATGCACAGGTGCTAGGGAAGGCAGTCACCAGTCCTATTAGACTGTGGTTCTCTTCCACTCTGGAACTGAACATACCATTTTTAACCTTGGATTTTCATTCTCAGTTGCTCAACTCAAGGTAGAGCAGGGGTAGGCAATGTTTTTTGGCTGACGTGCTGAAAAACACCACAATGCCTACCTTGGAAGGTGCCGGAGTGCTGTCATGCCAGAAAAACAAAATGTGGGCAGGGGGTATATGGCTGGATTCCCTGCTTGTGCCCCTTGCCCCCCACCCAAAGCCCCTGCTGCCCCTGCTCCCCAGCTCTGCTGCTCCCCAGCCCTGCTGCCCCTTGGCCCCCAGCCTGGGCTCTGTGGCTGTCAGCAGCTACCTTGGTTCTGGGTAGCTGCTGGAGCCCAGGCTACTCCCAGCAGGGCTTGCAGCATCCCAGCTGCCTGCTGGGAGTGGCCCGGGCTCCCAACTGGCAGCAACTACCCAGAGCCAGGGCCAGCCACAACCAGGAGGCCGCAAACAGCTGTGCCGGGCTCTGGAGTCCCGGCATCAGCTCTATATCGGTGCATGCAGGCACACGTCGGAGCGGGCGGTGGGGGAGGGGCCTGAGGCAGCGCAGCCCTGGTCTCTGCCCCGCTCCTGACATAGAGCTGGTGACAGGGCTGCAGAGCCTGGTGCAGCTGTTTGTAGCCAGCCCGGGCTCTGGGCAGCTACAGCAAGCAGCAGGCAGGCGGCAAACAGCTGCGCCACGCTCCATAGCCCCAGCATCAGCTCCATGCTGGCAGCAAACTGCATGTGCACCTCAGAGTGGACAGTGGGGCAGCGCAGCCCACCTAGAGAGTTTTAGGGTCGTTTCTTTAATCTTAACTCCCTACCTCCAACATCCTCCCTGCATAGAGGCCCAACTTCTGCATTTTACTATTTACTTTAATTTCCTATATGTTTTGGCTTGACTTTTGGCAATTGTTACTTTTATCCCTACACTTTGTAAGTTTCAAGATGGAGCTTTGCTAACCAAATCCTTTTTTTCCCATTCCTTACAGGCCCTCTTATACCTAGTATTCTTTTTGACATGATTATTTATCTAGTTAGTTCTGGAGCCTTCCTTCTCTCATCCCCCCACCTATCCCTTTACTTGGGATGCAGATTCTGGAAGGCTTTTGTGTCTTTGACATAAGAAGTATGAAGCATCCTCAACATTCAGTTAGGTTTTCAGTTAATTAATTAGTTTCCTTAATTCCTATATGTCTGCCCTTTCTTTACATTTTTGCCTGCCTGAACTCCAACTGCATCTCTATCCCTTGGATTTCTTCCATGAGTTCTGTCAGGAAACATTTCCTGCATAAGTACCCTCTTTCATGTGCCCAGTCAAGGATATTATATATATCCTGCAGTCGTATGTGCATTTATCCTCATTGTTTCTAATCCTCCTTGGGTCATCAATTGGTGTCAGTAGGCATCATCCTCTTTTCTTTGTAGTTCATAGCCAAAAAGAAAAAAGGTTGAAAAGCCCCCAAGCTCCTTTTCACAGACATTTCACAGGCTCCCTGTTTGCTGCTCTGTGGTACAGGTGGCAAGCTTATAACCTGGGTCAGTCATGCCTCCATAAAAAGGCACGCCACTTAAACATCTATCATTAGTAATCAAAGGTGGAAGCCACCAACACAAGCTGAGCTGGAAGGTCTCAGCCACAGTCACAACACACAACCCCCAAAACAGGTTCTACAACTGAAAGCCTTCAAGCAGCATGCAGCCAATTCACTTATTTCCCCTCCTCCTCCTGCTTTTTTCCCTCTCTCTCCCGCCCACTCTCCCTCCCCACCTACCAGAATAGGTAGGATCTGTTTGACAGAGGAGGAGATAATAAACCTTGTTTAGAATCTGAAGGAATTCATCCAAAAGAAAAAAAATGTTGCCTGGATGTCCCAAAGATTCAAGAGACTTGCATAGGATGTTTTAGGGAGTTAAGCCAGTGAAACTTTTTAAAGATGAAAGGGCCTTCCAGATCTGTTAGATCATAAATAAGTTGGCAAACTAGTCAGAAAAGAGCATCTTGCTACAAGAAAGGAACACCTATAATCTTAGATGTTAAATTTTGGACTAGAACTTTAGATGTTCATTAGGTTTGAAATGAGCAGAAAGAGGGAAAACCTATTTAGAGAGACTTGCACAGGAGTCTTTTGGGCTTCATTTTATCTTACAAAGTAAAATACGTTTATACTTGCAATCTTGACAAAATAGTATTCCAAAGCAGTACTTGAATATAGATCTCATCCACACTAAAATGATTAACTTCTTAATGAGGTCCCAAGCATTTGGGCTGAAAGAAAATTGAAGAGAAATGTGTTTTTTTTTAACTGTTTAATGTTGTTATCTTTTACTTCTGAGTCTGTTGAGACCCCTTGGCTGTAAAATTTCAGCATCTTTTTCATTACCCAAGAGTTTCCAGGTAGAAATTCTGCGTTCAGATTATTACTTTTCTAAAGTTAGTTATTTGTTTTTGAGTGATGTCTATTTTTTTTTCTTGATACTGCCTTCAAAATATTTGGCTGAGAGATAACTAAACCATTATGTGAGGGCATGACATCAAGAAAAGTTTTTGTTCTGTCTTTATCTGATGTTTGGGTAGACTAGCCAAGCATCTGGAATTGTATAAAATATCAAGGGGAGAAATTTAAAAGTATTTCACGTTTTAAGTTTTGATGTTTGTATTCACAAAACCTTTCCAGCCAGAGAGGATTTTGCATTACATTTGCACTGCAGAGGTGTTTGCATTTAATTTCAGCTTCTACAACTTGCGTGTGGATTTCTGTGTATATGTGGCTTCCAGCTTATTCACTCTCTACTGGGCATGAGTAAAAATAACTTGGATTTCCAAGTTTGGTTGACTTTTATTAAATATAATGGCATTTTCCTATGAAAATGGTATCATCCAGACTGCTTGAAGCAGAAATTGTCTACAGAAACCACAAATTGCAAAGAAAAAAAAGGGATAGATAAAGCTACACAAGGCAGCTGGAAGTACATAGGCTATGAAAACCATTTAAATTCTGGCAAGGTTTTATATGCAGTTAGACTTCTAAAAGAAATCTTATTAGGATAGGAATTCTTGGTTTGTATGTCAATAATATCATTTTTATATGAGATGCATAAACTAGAGATGCTGCTTATGACACTGTCAAATGACTTTGTCCAAAATTTATAAAAAACAATAATGATATACAATTTGTGAGTATTTTATAAACTTTTGCATGCCCAGTTCTTGCTACTGGCTGTGCTTTGTACAACAGTGATTGGAATCGGCACTTTAGAACCAGAGGGTGCCTGTAGACATGCTGTAGGGCTGCTCTGATGCACTGTTATTACAGGGTGTTGGAGCAGACTTGGTTAATTGAGTCTGCAGGAGCGTGGCAATTACCGTGCTCCAGCCAGCCTCCATGCCTCTAGTATTAGCATCCCCGAACTTCAAAATGGCAGCAGGGGTGCTTTAACTAAAGTTTGTCGAACAAGCTTTAGTTGAAGTGCCGCCACTGTCGCAATTTTTGAATTTGTGGGGGTTCTAATACATTAGCTACTGTGGTGCTTTAATTAGAGCGGCTCTTGGAGTCTCTCTAAAGCTCCCCCCCATCCCCAGAGTACGTGTGTGTCCAGAGTTTCCAAGTAGCAAAAAGTCTTTGGAAAAACAAGTCTGACTTCTGCATTGTTTGCTTAACCAAAAATGTTGTATCAGAATCTCCAGAGAAGAGAACAAAGAATAACGTGCCTGGGGCACTTGGTCCAATGAGATAATCCTTGTGTTGCGAATGGCCAAGTATAAATTGCTTATTGCTTGCTTGCAGGATGAAGTATTACTAGACTGAAATTTCAAGCCCAAATAATTGCCTCAAGGTTATAAAATAACATTTTAATAGAAACGTCTTGCTTTATTTAAAAAAATCTCTTTGCAACAAGAAGTACCAAGAAACAATGCAAAAAATAGTTTCAAAATTACTTAAGTATTTGCACCTTGTGAACTCTTGACCATAATTAGTATAATTCATATGATGTATATCTTTTTAGAATACGTATGAACAATATCAGTTTGTATTTGTAGTGTTGGAGAATATAGTTTTTCTTAATTTTATTTTGTAGTTTCTGTTTCATGTTAAACTTAATGTTTTTCAAAAGTTGTCTAGAGAGTTGACAACTTAACATTAATAAAAGCGCTAGTATTTCTTGCTGGGTTACCACAGCTATGGGAGGAAAAATCCAAATGAAGATTTTATTAATGAGGAACTCCACATATCGGATTTCAGTTTGTAGATATAATTTCAAGTCTCAGCATTTTCCTTAATTTGATAAGAGTAAAAACAGATTTTTTATGACTGATTTAGGACAGCAACCTAAAAATAGTTTCTTGCAAAATATATTATGGAAACTTCCTTATTTTTGCATTATTTAATTCTAATAACTGATATTTCTGCAAAATAAATATTTAAAAGTGCAAGAAAGGTATGCTATAACAGAAATTATTGACAAATAACTGTGTTTTTCATTTAACAGTACTTAACAACTGTCATTCCATATGAGAAGAAAAATGGACCCCCATCTGTTGAAGATCTTCAAACATTAACCAAAAGTGAGCAAAAACTCTCCTGTTGAGTCTTTTTTATCCATGCTAGCAAACAGTTAAACCAGGAGTCATGATCCATTCCCCAGTAACATGGGATTTATTTAAAATCTCATGGGTTTTAAGTAAAAAAATTGTAGTCTACTTAGATCTTTTTCCCAAGCTTTTCTCTGAAACTTTGAAGGCTAGATTTTTCTTTTTAAACTAGAAGCTAAGAGTCTCATGTAATGACTTCACTTCAAAAGCTGGAGCCTTAAAATTATACCAAATGTTAAGAGAGTTGGCAGTACTGTATCCCCAAAACACGTTGTCTCTCTATGGGTATTGTGTGAACCACAAGTTGAGACATACCATTAGCGTACTGATTTTAAAATGTTGATAAAAGACACCCGTTATTTAATAGTTGTCAGATAAATACTGTTTCAGTGGGTTAGTATAGTTTTTCTCTGCCTGTTTTTTCATAAAGGACCAAAATTGAGGCAATATAAGGGCTTGACTTTTGACAGTCATTTGAGTGCCTGTCCTCAAAAACAGGTCCAAAGGTCTCCTCAAAATGACTTGTATCATCATCAATGGTTATTAACAAAATTGTTATACAAATGTAGTATAAAGAGTTAGCAGTCTTATTTTCTGCAGGCTGGTTGAAACCTGATTCTGTGACTCAAAGAAAAACTTCCTGACTTGTTCCTTATTTCAGTTATTATTTAAAGCTTTATATTATTCTTTAGCTATGAACACTAAATCTTATTTCAACGTAAACAGCCTGTTCCTAATTATCATATACTGTAGTGTTCACAAATTCTCACACAAGGGATTTCAAACTTATTAAATGCTACTTCGCACTAGAATGCTTTACTTTTGATGCTTACATTCCTCTATCATTGTGCTGAGAATATTTTACAAAATGCTACCTCTCACTAGCCACATTTGAATATCAACCAACCGGCAGGTGTGTGTGGCAGGATGGATAATAATGAGAACACCTAATCTGATATTTCATTGCTCCAGAGTAGCAACAGAATTATCTTCTGTTATATAGCATAAGCTTTATAGCTTTCTACTTCAAAGTGTAAACCAGGCATTTCATATAAAAGTAGAATTTTCTTATTAATAATTTGATCAACTGTTAATGAGAAACTAAAACTACATTCTTTAAAGTTCTGCAATAGTCGATTTGATTGAACTTGGATTTTTGCCAGTAGGTGGTTTAGTCTAGGATGATTCATTCTGTCTAGTTGATCAAACTCACCAAAGGATTTTTTTTGTTTTTGTTGGGATTTTTGTTGTTGCCATATACAGATTTTTTTAATTCATCCCTCACTAACTATTGGACATTGTTGTCAGTAGCTAATGCTGCATGACAGGTCTTTGATTTGAAATCTTTGCACGTTCTGCATTGACAAGCACTTTGGTTACCTTTAAACCACATGAATACTTCCAAAAGTTATGGACTATTTTCAGTAATAAATGCAGCATCCTCTTGGATGGTAGTAGCCTGTAAAGTTTTCTAACATTTTCACTGCACTAGTGGCATTGTTGCTCACAGTCTTCAAAAATTTAAATCTATTAATGCCTTTGACTTCTCAAGAGTTTCTTCTTGTAATAACTGCCACAGACTGTAATGAAATTGAAGTGAAATCATGGTCACCATAAGAAATTTTACATAAGAGTTGTGTTTCAGAATTGCAGAACTTAACACTGTATCTGAACAATAAACATTTTGCTTTCTAATATTAATAACTAGGTAAAAATTCTGTATTTATTCAAAATACTCAAGAATGAGTAGCCATATGAACTCCAGGCAGAGGTGCCAAGTATGTGGGGGCCTGAGGGCCCTGGCCCCCCTTGAGAAGAGGGCTGTCACCTGAAATGCATAAAACTTTCCACATGTCCATCATTTTAGCATCTATTCATCCCGCCCCCACCCTGCCCAGCAAAAATACAAGTTGGTGCCTATAAGTCTAGGAACTCCCTTCCTCTACCTCCTTGATTGCTATGTACAAATCACAGACTCTCTTACCTGTAGGTGGGAGGAGGGAGACTAAAAAGCAGTGTGGTGGCAAGACTGTAGTCAACATCTGTAGTCATATCTTACAGTGAAGGACTTGCTCAGAACATTACATAGTCTAGGGAAGCATATGCAACTTTGCAGGAGTCACAGCTGAAGACAAAGTTAGTGTAATAAAATGTAATAATAAAGGGGAATAAAACTGAAAAAAAATTGAAACATCAACAGATTTCTAATTTGCATATCCAGTTTAAAACTTTTCCCCAGTAAAGATGCTATTTAAGAATTCCAAAACTAGGTTGGCAGCTGTGAAATGAAATAAGAAATGTTGATACTTTATCTCTTTTCTTTACTGTTTAAATGAAAGTTCACATAAATAAAAAAGAAAATCTCTGTTAAAGGAAAAATCCGTAAATAATCTGTTTTGACTTTTTAAAAACGTGTTATATTTGCACTTGTTGACTTATATTCCAGCCTTCATGTGCATTCACTATTGACTTATACTGAGTATTACGTATCTGAAAGGACCAGAACTCAGGTGTTTGTCATTCTCTGTCTCAGTGTTCTAATTGTACGTTTCCTAACTTATATGGTTTTAATATCCAGCTGAGTAGTTACAAAAATATTTTCAGTGTGGTTGTTTGTGACCTCTTTAATTTAAAAATAACAATGTGAATGATTGCTTTTTTTCTCTCTTTCTCCACTCTGCCCCAAAATATTTTTTAGTCCTACATGCTATGAAAGAAGACAGTGAGAAAGTGCCAAGTTTGTTAACAGATTACATTTTAAAGGGTGAGTATGCCTGTTAGATCCTGGCTAATGAATACATGCTTTCTTTTTAAGTTCCTATGTGATATATAACATAAATATTTAAAAATTCTATTCCT